GGAATATACCCCAAACCCTATCTCATTCTTAAGGCCCCTGGTATATTAGATTCTAATGTTGATGATGTTCCACAAAGACAAACATCATTTAGATATACTTAGCTAGGTTTGCATGATAACTATGAGAGGAACCCTAAGCAATGCAGTACTAGCCTATCAGACCCCTGGTTCCTTTAAAGCTTAGACAGTGCAGAAAGGTTTGCAAACTCCTCTTGCTAGGAATATCTCGATAGTTAGATAGTGATCCGTAATAGGACTTAAGACATACTGGGAACCCCCCAGTCAGACAACCCTCCTAAACCTGTCTTTCAACCCGCCCCGCAAAAAAAATTGTATTGCATACTGTGTCTGGGCTCACTATCTTCTTATAGGAATCCAGAAACAAACCCTAGGGGCTTGCGGATCTTTGGGGTGTAGTGTTGCTTTTGCTGGTGTCGGCCCTTTCCCCACCCCCCCAAAGCCGAGACTTGAACCCTAAGAGCCCCACAAGCCCTAAACCCTAAAGGCATCGATAGTTAGCAATCCTCTTGCTACAGGCCTAGTTTTGGGACGCGAACGATTAGGGGCCCTGCCGTCCGCAACAGAACAGAACAGAACAGAATACTCTTGCTAGGGCTTCTTTTAAGAACACGATAGAAAGCTCCCAGACCCCATTACCCGAAACCCCTTCCTGTTGCAAACCCAACTAAACCCCAAACCCAAAACCCCAAGCCCTGGTCAAAACCAAATTCGGTCGGGTCGCTGAGGACCTCGGCGCCCTCCTCGGCTTTCGCGACCTGCCGGACGAAGAACAGCGCCTGGAAAGCGAAAGAAGGGCTTGGGGTTAAGGGTTTAGGGTAGGGGTTTTGGGGGTTCTGGGGTTTAGGGGATAAGGCTTAGGGGTTAAGGGCTTAGGGGTTACGGGTTTAGGAAGTAGGGTTCGTATGCTACAGGGGCCTTAATCATTGGGCAGTATCATGATACAATCTAGGTTCGGGACTTTTACGGCGGAATGCTAGTACTCATTCCATACTACCAGGACACCAAGTATCCTTCGCAAGGGGCCTCTTATTCCTGAATAAGAGGTAGTCGGGGGTGCGACTTGAAGCTTAGCAAAAAGCGTTTACAGTTTAGGGCGCAGAGGTTCAAGGGGCTTGATACGTCCGTATGTATGTATGTATATATGTATATATGCATAGGTACATCGTTATCCTCATTCCATCACGAGGCAAAGCACTTGTGACCTGATCTACTCTGTCCCCTGATCCTTTCGGGAACAGGATACGAGAAGGAGTTGATTAGAGCTTAGAGCCTAATCCCTAAACCCTAATCCCTAAACCCCGAAATTAAGAGTGTTGGTTTAGAGATTTGGATGTGAGGTTAGGGAATAGTGTTCCTTGACGGTTCATGGGGAGGAAGAAGCGGGGTTACATGCACAGTGCTTGAGGCGATAAGCAACCGCAGCTATACCTAACTTGAGAATGCACTATTGCTGGTCACCCATGGTCCTTCTGGTTCGGATTTGAGTTTCGGAATTATGCTCTGTTCTGATACCCCTGCACAAATCGGCCATACCCTTGCACAAATCGGCCCTATTGCGGCCTGCTTTGAGGTGTTCAGGTGCAGTCTCAACTCAAAACTTGCCAGAAGCCAACAACAAAGCCTGTAAACACCACGACTGGAGAGATCCGCAATCCCCGCGCTTGAAGGCTCATGCTAGGCTCCGAGAAAAGGTGTCATGAATACCCTCCTTCGGGGAAAGGACAACAGTCCCTAAACAAAAGCTGTAGAACCTTGCAGAACAGTTTCCAACCAACTCTCTCTGCGTTGCACCTATCCACCGAATGGTTTAGGGTTTGGGGTTTCAATGTTTAAGGTGGGCCCCAGAAGTAGGACTTGAAAAGCGAAACATGGCGGTAGGGAGGAGAAAGTCGTCATAGAGACCCTGGAAGCGCAGAGCGGGCCTGGTAGCGCTTAACCACCGGCGCCTCCACTCCTTCGGCTTGGGGGGGGCCAGGGGCGGTGTCAGGTGAGGGGGGAGAGATGTGTTTAGGCCTGGAGATATTGGTATTCGTGGATATCGGAACTGGATTTTAGGGTCCCGGAAGAAGGATTTTTCCATTGTGGAGTTGCAGAACTGCGGAATCTACATGCCTGGGCCAAGACATGGGGTTTTAAACGTCTAAAGATGAAGACATATCCACGCGCTCCTTTCTTGCTGTGGCTGTGGATCATGATCGCTGCTGACCCCAACCATTCCACCCTCCACGATACAACCTTGCGCATGAAGGATGCCAGAAGCAAGTGCGAGCTTCGGAAAACAAGAAAACCCCCATATGGATGCAACATATGGGAATTTCCGCAATTAGGGGTACCTCATTTCGAGGTCCGTATAAAACGGATCCTTCTATTTAGGGCACTAGATTAGGGTCCCCTATTTTCGGAAACTCCCATATAGATAACGTCCTTATTATGAAGCACTCAATTCGGACCCTTCCACCAAGAACCCCCAAACGAAGCCTAAAACTCCGGAACCCGTCTAGGACACCCTTTAAAACAATCCTTGGGATAAGATGTTCTTGGAGTTGACTGCGGTGGGAGTCCGTTGTAAGGATCAAACGCTCCATCAGTATGGTATAATGAGTAGCATACACCGCGATGAGCACGCAGCGATGCGCACCATGTCTTCAGGCCAGGTTGGTTGCCTGACACGAATATACTCGATGAGTCTCTTCGCTTGCTCCTTTACAGACACCACCAGCAAATGCTCCTCGGCAATAGGACTATTGTATTCAAGGAAGAGGAACATGTTTTTGTTGTCAGGTCGAACAAGGACTCGAAGTCTGTGCGAAAGTTGAAGGCACCTGGCATCAAGCGCCCTTTCTTCGCAGCGTTTGCAGCGTCCTCAGGAAGGTCGCGAGATGACATGGCCAAGGCTAGGTCGTTCTGATCTTCCGAACCATGCTGATTCAATGCCAGTGCCAAAGCCTCATTTCCCTGCGTTGCCGTGTCAACTGGCGACTCTGCCACATCCATCTCTGCCAGTTCTGCATCGAGGCGGGCATTGAAGGATGACTGCGAAGCGCCTGCATCTGGATCTGCGCCGCCTGACACATCCTGCCAATGAACGTCTTTACCGCCTGCATTTGCTGTTAACATAGCAGCCACGTTGTGCGACATGTTGGGCACCTCGTCGATGAATGGACCTGTCTCCATGTTGTCAGGATGAAGGCAGACGACGTACATCGCAGACGCAACATAGCCAAAGCAATGCTCCAAGATGTAGTTGTACGTGTTCGATTGGAGACGGTAGTGCCAACCTGCGCAATCTGGAATATCACCCAAGGGCGACGGCATATTCCGGAACTTGTTTGTGTACTTCGTACGCAGGCTTCTGGTTCGCTTCCAGTCGAACAGGACGAGGCTATTATTGTCTGAAGTTTTAGCCACGAAGTCGATGCATCAGGTTTTTAAAATTTAAAAACCCAGCGCTTTTAGATTTTAAAGAATTTAAAGAATTTTTACACTTGAAATCTATCTCTGTGGCCTGGAGCGCAGACCAACCCTGAACATCTAGAAACACACGGCTCTTAAATTCTAAGGACTTTAAAGAATTTAAAGGACCAAGGTTTTAAAAGTTAAAAACCCACGGCTTCTAAATATTAAAAGCCCTGTGGTTCTAAATGTGAAAAGCCCTGAGGTTTCAAATGTTTAAAGCCCTGGGGCTTCAAATCTTAAAAGCCTTGGTGTATTAAATTTCTATATTCGGTATCTATAGAAACAAGCCAACGCCAAATGGACCGTAAAGGTCCTACGTACATTTTACTAGTGTCCCGGACTAGGGTCCCCTTTAATTGAAGGAACCCGCTTCAGAGGAACCCTAAACCCTAAACCCTCAAGCCTAAAATTCTAAACCATAGGGTCCCCTTTGAAGGAAAGCCCCCGCATGGCTCCTGCAAGCAGCGTCGCCTGGACCTCGTCCCAGCTTGGCGACGCCACGGACGACGTCATCGAGCCCGATGCGGAGAGGGGTTGAGGGTTTTAGGGTTTAGGGATGTAGGGTTTAGGGCTTTGAAGTCCCGGGTTAGTTTAGGGTTTCGGTGTGTAGGGGCTGAGGGGTTTAGGGATCCCTCTTGCTGGGTCTGGGGCTGAAGGGCTAGAGTTTAAGGTTCGCTCCGGGCCCTTTATAGAACCCTTATAGATCCCTAAGGGTACTACTGGGCATGGTAGCTTAAGCTTTCTTTGTTGTTCTTCCTTTTAGCGCCCCTTTGTTCGACCTGCAGGTCTTACGGCTTGGGGTCCTGAGGCTTTCGGGTTCTGTCTGGCCGGTCCGGTCTCCGGTGAAGTCTTACCTTAACCCTGAATATCCTACCTTTTTAGGGTTCCTTATTATGATTTCCTTATATAAGTCCTTAAAAAGGTAGGTCCTTCAGGGTTAAGGTACATCATAGGGGCTGCATCGGTTGTTTCAGGGTCTAGGGTTTAGCGATTGAGGGTTTCGGGTTTAGGGTTCTCCTATGTGACGCAACTTCGGGCTTAGAGGCTCTCTATCGCTCATGCCTGCTGCTGGGTCTGTGATGTGACACCTTGTTGCTGAGTTTCCTTTGCACAAAGCATCTCAGGGGCTAGTCCTGCTCTTCCAGGGCCCTCCATGCTCTTGGGTTAACCTACGAGCTCCTAACCCTAAACCCTAAAACCCTGAATGAAGCTTTAAACCCTAAAACCCTAAGGAATGGTGCAAGTCTCAGCTTAAGCTCGGCTCGAAGCCAAAGGCTACGGGGAGGAGCAGGTAATCGATCCAGCTTCATATATATATATATATATATATATATGTGTGTGTGTGTACACATGCATATATATATATATATACATACATACATACACATACATGTTCTGTCTATGATGTCATTTACGCATGTGTGCATCTGTGTATTTCCACTTGGTACCTATAGATCTTTGTACATACATTTCTATATACATATATGTATACACACACATTGTGGTTTCATTTAAGCAAAACGCTAAAGGTGGTTCTGAGACCGTAATGACCGTACCATGCACCGCGCCTCCAGCAGACAGTCGAACTGAAGTGCGCTCAGGCGCAGCTTTGGAAAGCCGTCGCCGAAGTACCTGCAACGGTGCATCACTTCTGTGGCCACAACACCGGCAGCAACATCGGCAACCGTGTTAACTGTAGGGTAAAGCAGTGGCGCTGGTTCATCCCGTGCCGTAGAAGCATGGACAACACCTCAGCAGCGATGGCAGGGATGAGCTTCTTGAGGCATCGAAGACACAGCGCTGGGAGCTGCACGCAGTGGTATGCAATGGGCTCCGCGGCCTGGAAATCGAGTGTTGTAGCAGGCGGTAAGGCCCGGTAATATCTCTAAAAAAACAAAGGCCGCAGACCGCAAAGGTCTGGCAGAAGAACCCTTCCAAAACCCATGAACCCCTATTCAACCCTACAAAACACCGATAGAACCCCAACTGGCGAACGACTCTGAGGCCGTGTCGCTGTTTCCGCCGGACCGGAATACGCAAAGCATGACCCCTGCCACAGGGTGTTCGTCATGCGGCTGCGGCCTCACATGAAGCGAGCCTGCGATGAAGTTCATCCCCTGGCAGTAACCGATGTCTTCAACACCTGAGGCTATGGGTTTAGGGTGTAGGCTTCCGGGATTTGCAATTAGTGTGCCTGGCAAATCATCGGGGTCCCAAAACAAGCTGAACGGTCGGAGTCGTCATACTGATGCATCCTATCCACCTTTCTTGTTGCTGTTCTTGTTATCAGCACTAATGTTACTCTGATTCCTCAAAATATCATTCTTGAACGTTTCTCGTTGCAATCATTGCGACTTCTCCTTCTCTGATTCTTGTCCGTTCTCGCCGTTCAGCTCCCCATCACTACTTCCTTTGCAACCACCCAGTGTTGTTAATACTGCTACCGCTACTGCTGCTTGCTGGCATGAAGCCACGAGCACGACCAAGGACGGGTCCTTGTTCTAGGGTCCCTCATTTTCTGAAAGTCCCAGCCCAACTGGGCACACGGGCGGTGGGACACAGCCCGCAGCACGCGAAAAAGCGCCTGAATCGCAAGCAGATGCACGACACCTTAGAAGATTCCGTCCCTCCACTGTGTAAGCATAGCGACGATCGTCAGAATGATACAAATACTACTCAGAAGATCAAAATTACTGCAACAGTGGCAGTGTTGCAAAGCGAGTCAGTTCAAACAAGCAAGGCAAGACTAGTCGTCACCGGTAGAAATCCAGCACAATTTCCGAGCGCAACGCCAACTGACGATTATTAACTGTGACACTGCGACTCGCCACAGTCTTCAGTGAAACTTTGGTTGCACACAACGCCTCCCAGGAAACACATCCAACTCCTAAAGCCCTAAAGCAGGAAAGCTCGCCCCTAAACCCTAAACCCCTAATCCCTACTCAAACGCCTAAACCCTCAAGCCCTATACCCTGAAACTCAACCCTAAACCCTAAACCCTAAACCCTCAAGCCCTATACCCTGAAACTCTTAAACCCATTCACAGTCATTCACAAAAAGCACAGGACCAGGCCTGCTGAAGAGCTTCATCGAACCCTTGCAGCGTGAGTACCGTGGGAGCTTCGGAGCTCTAAAATGGAATAGAGGGCTTCTGAGGTTTCGGTTTCGGGTTTAGGGTAGGGCTTGATGTGGGGTGTTACGATTTGGGCTTTGAGGGTTCCTGAATCAATTCCTATACTTGGAGGCCCTTTTGACTTAGTAAGTCTACTTAGTATCCCCTAGAAACCCTATTATAGTCCCCATAACCCACCCTACTAACCATACTTACTAAGTCAAAAAGGGCCTCCAAGTAGGGGCTTTCAGCAAGGCACGGCTGGCAGGGATCTGTTCTTTCCCGAGCCCAGCTGCTACAAACGCGATAGGAGACTCAGCAACAGAAGTGTCCAAGGCAAAACGAGGTGCTGCAGCTTAGGCGTAAGGGTACCTTTTGCCCAAATGTCAGCTTGAACAAAGCGGTGCCGAAATCAACACTTGACAAACAGTACTAGGGGAAGACATCAGCTACTCTTGTTTGAGGCACCTGCACACCCTCTCGACCGCTGGATGCTATGACAAAGGTCGTCATCGTTGTGGTCATTAAGTTCACTTACCCTCTACTATACTGAACCCAGAACCCTAGCAAAAATGATAATTTTAGCTGTTTCCTAGGGATTATAATAACCAAAAATTGAAACTATTTCTAAGTACCCCTAAGTCTAATATGCACCAAGTACCCACTATTGGGGACCATTAGGGCTCGATTCAAGGGCCCTTGCGGGGTCCTGGTACTTAGAGGATCATGGGACTTAGTAAGTAAGGGTTCCTTTAAAGGGCTCCTTTAAAGGGATCTATAGGGTTCCTTAAAGTGATCTATGGGGTTTAGGGTTTAGGGTCTACTTAAAGGATCATGGGACTTAGTAAGTGGGGTTATAAATAAGGTAGCTATACTTATAACCCCAATTAGGGTACTTATAACCTTACTTACTAAGTCCCATGATCCTCCAAGTGGGCATCGCGCACGCTTAGGGTTTAAGGTAATTCTCTGCCCTATGCCGAGTACCAGGCTTTCTGGAAACGTTCGCCCGACCTGAGAGTGGCGCACACCACAGAATCCACAAAACTTCCACAGTCTCGGACCCATACTGTGGATGGACAATATCCTGCATGACCCAATATAAGGAATATACCATAATTCCCATAGTTTAGGGTCCTTAAGGTCATGCAGGTTTTTGTCCATCAGCGGTAACAACAGTTATTACGAGAACAGTTGCTACAGTTGTATGAAGCCTCACATGAAACTGATGGTGATAACAGTCTGATAAATACAGGGGTGCCAACGCTGACAATAGCAGTAAGAGCAACAACAAAATCCTTTGTCCCGAATCTCAGGCCTACACTACAAGGCATAAACCGCCAGACTTACTGCTTAGGGTTACCGTTTGCGGCTTCGGGCTCCCGAGTTGCATGACATCGGGTTTAAGGAACCCTAAACCTAAAACCCTTGACCTTAACAGCTACCCTCAGACACAGGCAGGCACCATGCAAAACCAAGCACAGTAAGCTCAAGGCATCTCGCTGGATTTCAGCGTCTGCCTGGTAAACATCTCGGGTTAAGGGAGCCTAGGGCTTAGGGTCTTGGGCGTAGGTTCGGGAGTTTAGGGTTTCCTGTCCCAGGGTTGAGGATTGCTATGGAACCATCTAAGCCGTAAAGAAGTACCGGAACAGTACTGGCCATAGGTTTCGCCCTGGGCCGTACATTAATTCGGCTTCTCCAGATCTTCTACAGACTTCAGGGTTTAGGGGTTTAGGGTTTAGGGTTGGTGGGCAACGTGTGCTTTGGTGTTTCTGGCTTCACGTGCTGCTTTACTACCTGCAGGAGATCGGGGATCCTAGGTACTTGTACCCAAATAGTATATACTCTGGGCCCATTAATTACTTGAAGGCCACAGTATATACTACTTGGGTACTTGGACTTCGAAATCTAGGCGTCAGGGGTTTTACGGTACAGGCTGTTGTTCGGGCTCAGGTTTTAAAGGCTCGGGTCGCGTGAGAGCTGGATACTAGAATTCGACTTAGTTTGCGATGAACCACGGATAGTCATGGGCACGAACAATCCATGTACTGATTCTTCCCCTGCCGGCGTCTGGCACAATATCGAAATTGGCCAAGGTGCCGAGTTGCTCGCTCATGTTCCGGACCCGGAAACCCGAAGCGCACACGCCGAACAAGAGCACCACAGCCCTCCCGAAGACCACAGCCGCTACCCCGCAGCCGGCAAAAAACAAGGAAGAGACTCCTAACGATACCTACTATCAGAGCCTCCGCAATTAGAGTAGTTCTTCTTGAGGGGGGTATATGAGGGGAGTATCATATGATCATCACAATAGGAACGCTCAGGAATGGTCCTGGTAACTGTTCGGGCTGCTATATTATGAATGAAGCACTTACTGCCAGCACGTAATAGGCTCCGCTGGTAAATCTCATTTATTGCATACTAATAATAATACTGCTGAGTCAGAATGAAACTATCATGTTAACAATAAACATCTGATGATGAGAACGTAAGCCCTAAACCCCTAAACCCTAAACCCCTAAACCCCAAACCCCTAAACCCCCAAACCCCAAACCCCTAAACCCTAAACCCCTAAACCCCTAAACCCCTAACCCCTAAACCCCCAAACCCTAAACCCCTAAACCCTAAACCCCTAAACCCCTAAACCCCTAAACCCCTTCACCGAAACACGGCCTGGCCCTGAAGTTCACAGAGCTGCTCGTACTTCAAGCCTGGAGAGATTTGGCGGAATCGGAGCTCTTCTTGGTGCTGGGGTCTTAGGGTTTAGGGGTTAAGGTTTAGGGCTTAGGGGTTTAGAGTTTAGGGGTTTGGGGTTTAGGGTTTAGGGGTTTAGGGTTTAGGGCTTAGGGGTTGGGGGGCTTAGGTTTTTTTTTTGAGCTCCTTTTCTCCAGCGCCCCGCGAGGTCTGAGAGGCCAGGACGGCCAGGACAGCTGGGGCTTCGGGTTTAGGGCTGAGGGTTTAGGGGTTTAGGGTTTTGGCTGTGCTTTTGTGAGGGTTGTCGAATGGTTGCGAAAAGGGTTAAGGCTCTGTGTTTTTACGAAGGTTCTAAAGGAGTCACTGCGCCACGGGCTCTGCATTCTACGGGGCTTCAGATTTCTGCAAACCCTGTAAATGGGGTGATTAGACCAGGGGCTGTGTGTTCTACATACAAGAATTCTATTCGGGTTCTGAAGGGGCTTGATTGAGGCTCCAGGTGAAGGGTTTCGTGTGTAAAGGGTGGTTTGGAGATTAGGGCGCGGTCAGGTCTGGAGGGCAGGGCGCGATTTGGCCTCGAACCCTGTAGCCGAAACAACTCTGAACACTAGCTCGCAAAGGCTTGCGAAATCGCCTAGCCTTCGTCAAACGCAACGCCCATTAGAAAAGGTGCGGGGCCATGAGTCATAGCGGATGGCTAATCCAAGTACACAGTTGAGTAGCATTCTAGATCTGCTGCTGTTGTTGATGATGACGACGTGCTGCAGTCACCGCCGGAGTCGTCTTAGCAAGCAACAGCTTCAAGCGTGCTAGCATCAACTGTAGGTTTGAACCACAATTTATCATCCCCTTACAGTCCGTGCATAAGTATTCGTTTACTTGTCCAGGCTTGCCCTTCGTGCCTGAACTCAAAAAGCATGTCATCGTCCCTGCTAGCCGTCCAAAGACCTAAATCAAGACTGAACCCCGGCACTCGGATCCCTTCACTCTAAACCCTAGACTCTACACCCCAAAATACCTCAGCATACTTCTGTCCGCATGGGCTATTGATTTCAACCTCGACTGGCCTCCTCCGTGAAGTTCCATTGCTCCAAGAAGAAGACGTTTCCTTGCCATAACCCAGAGAGCCCAATACCCCTTAATTAAGGAATATGGCTTAAATTATATAGGGCTTCATATTATGATTTAAGCCATATTCCTTAATTTAGGGGTATTGGGCTCTCTGGGAAGCTTTTATGGTCATCTTTTCCTAGATTGAGGGGGTGCCGGGGCAAATCAAAGGCTTCTGTAGTAAAAGTGTTCGGGGTT